AATTTAGCAATGAACAATGAACGCAGGCAGTCAAACATAACTAACAGTGCATTTATGGCAAAAACAAGTCATGCTTTACTAAAATGGCTTATCCAACCTTCAAAGTACACAGCATTTTTTATTTTATTTATGGTTTATTACTATTTTCGGCCAAGTTGATCAAAAGAAAATTCACTAAAAGTGAACTAACAAAGTGAATAATAAAAACAATTGGGGGCAGAGAGGATAAAAGGGAAGAATGTGAAATTTAATGTTATCGTGAGTAACCAGTACAAAATTTAGAAATTGCTCTGATGTAAAAAACTTGGGAATATTTAAAAACACTACGTTATTGTGAAATGTAAAGTTCTGATTCCTCTACAGTACTACATGCAAAGAAGCTACTTGTCTCTAACTTCCTTGAGTTTTATGCAGTTACAATCTCAGCCAGACAATGCAAGAGTCTAATTTGTCTTCAATATATTATGCTAATACAATATCATGTGTACTCTTGACTGCCATATTTGCTTAGATTTAACCTGATTATTAAGGTTTTATATAGATGTCTGTCTTATTGCTGCTTGCTTTAATTCAACTATTTTTATCGAGTGAACACTCTTCAAAGACTTAAAGTTAGGAACCTTGTAAACACTTGTGTAATCTGTAACCTGCTGGGGCTGGCAGTGGTAATTTGTCAGTTTTATTTGCAGCAGGCTGTAACTAAACCTTGCCAGATGTAAATCATCTTTTTGTACTACTGCTTGCTGTTTCAGTTGCAAACGAATCTCATTTCTTAGCTTAACACTCACATCAAGAAAGCTAGAAGGTTCCAGGAAAATTTAGAAAACCCTAGTCACCTACTGCAAGGCTTATTATGCAACTCAGCAACTGTTTAAGCTAATACAGAGCAAATAGAGTGAATAGTCTCCGTAGGCAAGTTGGGAGTGCAATCAGAATGTGTGATTGCAACAGAAAAGCATATTGAAACCTCAATCTTGTCAACTTAAGCACCACCTGCAGTGACAATGGTGAAACACGGGTGACAGCACAGTCTAAGTACATTTAAGAGCATGAGTGCCTAAATGGGAGAGTACTCTTTGCTAAAGCCTATTCCCAATGGGCCTCCCTGGTTTTTGTTTTGTTTTGTTTTGTTTTAAATAAGACCATGAGAAATGCCCTGCTGGGACAGAAGTTTATTGTGTCTAGTGGCAATAGAAGATGCTCTCTAGGAAAAGCATGCACACCCAGCTACTTTCTGTGGTCAGTCCCATAAAATAATAGTTGCTGTCCAAACTCAGCTGGCTAAAACGTATATAGCATCCCAAATCCATGTCCTATTATAACAGCTCACTACCCACCAGATAACGGGCACAAAAATCTATTCCTTCCATGTCAGCATCTTCCTGAGACTCAAGCTGGTATATTCCAAATGAGTCCATGCAGGTATTTCTATAACAGTGGTAGATATTTTCATTATGATTTTTCATCACATAGTGGACGTTACATGTCCTAACATTGCTCATTTTTGACTACTTTATTACCAAATCTTGGCACTGTACTGTGTCATGCAAAAAACTGCAAAGAAGTAACAAGCACCTTTATAAAGAACACTAAACCAATATAGTATTGATATAGACAGAGCTATCAAACAATCATTCTCATACAGCATTGACAACATTTTGAGTATACATAAAGCCTATAAAGGAAGAATTGTAACCCATCTTTTCTAAGCTGTTAGTACTAATCCAACTGCTGCCACTGCAGAACCAAAGATTCCTTTAGCCTTGACTGGCCCATTTCTGTGTGCTCTGGATTCCCTTACCTTGAGTGAGCTAGAGCTTTACTAAGAGTCCTCAGCTCCTTTCCTGTTTCTCTAAATGGGGAGAGCCTCTTCGCTGGTTCCGGTGGATCAGACTGAAAGTGATCAAATTGAAGATAAATATTATGGTATTAATTAAGAAGAGCCTAGCAGAGAGAAAGTATGTGCAGTCTCAGGGCTCAGTTTTAATCACCACATATTTTCTGAGATGGTCACCATCTGGGACAGCATTGTGTCATTTCACAAGCATGTAAACAAGTCTTACATGATACTGCTGTGCATGCCCGTGTGTACACGTGTTCCGACAGTTTTTAACTCATTGGCTGACTTCAAGTTTGACAGAGATCTTTACATGCAGTTAAGCGCCCATGAGATTCATTAAACTACGAGACAGGAAGAAGAGATTGTTCAATGGCCTAGACTTAAGGAATGACTGCTGTGAGTGCTTATGCATTAACAAACTACAAAAAGCATGCATGGGAGAGAAATCTTTCAGAAGTTCCAACTCAGAAAAATTTTCAATCAGACTCAAAACAAGGAGATTGACATTTGAAAAAAAAAAAAACCAAAACCAAGAAAAGCCCCACAGACATAGCTGGTTTTGGAACACATAACATAATGGTTTCATTATTTTCTTTCTCTCTTTTATTTTTTAAGAGTGTACAAAACAGGTCAGCAATTTTATGTAAGGGAATTAAAATCACCTACTTAGTACATTGTTCAAAATGCCTGCAACGTTTTTTCTTCTGAGCAGCTATGGAACTGAAATGCATGGGAGATGAAAGCTTGTATTTGTTGTTGAACTAGCCCTGGCTTAGAAGTATCCTTGGGGTTTCCAGAGAACAGCCGCATCAATTTCATAGAATTATGATTGCACGCTGTGCATATGCAGTGTTTTTGCATGTGTTAGGTAATAAAATATGCAGCTGAGGCAGTGCTCAATGTGCAAAGAGTGCATGGCTAGATTGCTATCCATTGGGAAGCATAGTGCTGGTGTGCAGAGACTGAGGTGCAGCCAAAGGTATTCCTTGAGGCAGTTCCGTGCATTTCATTAGTGTCCTAAGGTGTCCAGAAAAATAAATTCCTGGTAAAGGAAATAAAGAAGATCCTTTATTATGCACCTGGGAAAGTATATAATAGGATATTGCAGATCTCAGTTGGATCTGTAGAGAAAATGCATGCCTACTCAAGAGAGGCTGCAACTCCTATTTTAAATCTTTATGCACATCTGAGTGTACTGTTTTTGATCGCTGAAACAATTGGTGCTCTGTATGGACAACAGCTTCTAGAAGGTTGAGCTGCATACTTCAGCCTTTCTTAGTATGTTTTTATCTTTAAGAGAACATTCTGCAAAGTGCAAACAAAAGACAAGACTTCTTATTAATGAGATGTATAGATAAAATTAATAACTGTAAATGAGAACTGAAAAAAGAAAAACGATAAATGAATGTGTTGGTGGAATGTTTCTGGTATTCAAGCCAGAGTGCTTCTGCCAGTAAAATAGCTGGCACAGCTGCACCTTTTAGCAGGACTTCCACAGCACATCTTACTTTTCAACTTTGTCAGCTTCCAACAAATCTGACTGATTTGAGTTAGATAAAAAAGGAAATTAAATATTGTGGTGTGATAGGTGAGATATTACTGGATGCTGAAGTCAGGCTAACACTTGTGCTTTCTGCCTTAAAGAAAACTTTAAAAAAAGAATTTAAAAAATCGTTAGTGTTAGTTGTCAGTTTTCACATAATTGCAAATGTAGCATCCTTTCTCTTTTGTTTACATTTTATTCTTCTTTTTTATAAAAAAAGATACGATCAAATCAGCTGCCTGGCATTCAGTTCTGTTCTAAAGAGAAAGGAGATGGATCAGACTTTAAATAAGCTAACAAAGACGACATATGATGAAAAATTAAATCTTTTTGCTGGATTGTCAAATAAAACTCAGGCAAATTGTTAAATGCATACGGAGAAATTAAAATGTATTTTAATTCCAACATTTTATTTATATTTACAAGGCCTGAATTGCTTTGGGATAGGTAGCCACAGACAACACTGTAACTCTGCATTGTTGTATGACAGGCCTAAGTATACATCAAATAGAACATACACTTGGGTGGTCTTGGATGCATTAGGACAGACTCACCACAGTAACTGTTCTGTGCTGATCAAAAAGTGGCATTTAAGTAAAACTATCTCCAGGCCTTTCAATATTTAAAATTGTAGGTTAAGGCCACACCAGGCAAAGGTCGAAAACCCGGGTATAGGCTAGATCTTCAACAACTGTTAATTTGTGCAGCTCTACATAACACCCAAAGGAACAGCCCTTTCAGCTTCAGGTTTCTGAGATCTAAGGATGTGCAATATTGACCTATGTACTTTAATAAAAACATGAATTTTTCAAATAAAAAGTCATCTTGAATGTATTAGTCATTTCTGTGCTAAACTGTAATATAGTTTAAAGGTCAGTCTTCTAGAACTGACACGTGGAATAACTAACACAGCTAAACTGAACTTTCAGAACACTATTTTTACCAAATTCCAATAGAACCCTACATCTCGCACATCAGCAATTTTTTCTGATACCTTCAGGAGGAGTTTTACTGGATAAAACCTATGAAATGTTCATCAGTCAGAAAAAGGCTGGTTCCTTATGTACAGTAAGGCTTTAAACCTTGAATTCAGCGAAGTTATCTATATGAATAATTAAAACATGATGTTTGCCTGTTGCCTTCTTTAACTCCATCTTGAATCAAAGCTTCACCAGTAGTCTCACCTCTGGATTGAAAGAGTACTTGTTAGTAGTAACCTCAGCCACTTCTTTGGGTGGTTTTTCCCGCACATCTTTTTTCACTGGTTCCTAAAAAATGGACAAAAACATGTAACCATATTTGAAATACTGCTAGTTAGCCATACTGTAGCAGGTCATAATTTTCAAAACTAAGTGGTGCAAAAAAACTTTTCTAGAGATGCAAACTAAAGCAAAAGTAATGGCTAGCCTATTATAGAAAAACTTAAAACGTCACTAAATGACTTTGGCACACAAATAGATTCTCATACAAAGTACCTGCAGACAAACTACTGTGCAAAATGCATACATGCTTTCTAAATTACTATACTTAAATGCTTAGAAAACGTAACTTTTCTCTTGGAAGACTGTTATATAGACTCCTGTGTCTAACATAAAAAGAAAATCCAATTTCCAAAACCAGGAATAGGAAATTACTTACCTGTAATTGCTCTTCCCTGAAGATACACAGTGTGATAGACCACTATTCTTGGGTCTGTGCTTTCACCCACAAGGAAGGCACAGACTCATAAAAAGCCTTGAAGTCAAACACAAGCACACTTTTAGTCCTCCTTCAACCATCAGTTTATTCAAGTGGAAGGAAGACATATTCCCTCCTATTAAAAAAAATTATATAGGTAGATTAATAAAAGACTTCAGATCACTCAAGCAGTGTATGGTGCTCAGGCTAAAAGGATATGAAAACAGTAATTCCTTCCTGCACTAGTTTCAGATCAAAAAGCTCATTTATTGATTCCAAGCAAAGCAAAGCTGGAGGCCCTAGCAAGTCGCATCCATGTAGTCAGGGCAGAGCCAATGTATAAAAAAGGCTGAAAGACTGCACAGCAGACTTGGAGCTGCAGATGAAATACTTGCTATGCTGTATAGCTTTTGCACAACAGAGCAAAGCCTGGAAATATTCAAGTATTAAAAAAAAACAACTTAAGAGCACAGCATTTTGTTTGTTGGAATCTTGACTTGAGAAGGCACAAAATTCTTTCCAAATCTATGTTCCCATGTAACATTTCAACAGAACAAAGGTTTAAAGTGTCAGGAACAGTATCTTCACTTGTTGGAGAACTCCGAACACCAATGTTCTAATATAATGACTGAGGTAGCCCACAAACAAGTAGAAAACTGAGCCGGGGGAAGCAAACCTGAACCCAGAAATGGTACTAAGAGCAAAGTAGCTGGAATGAAGATTTTCTGCAGCTGGAGTATAAGGATGAACTAATGAAATGTCAAAAAGAAGTCTGAAGGCTCCACTATTTCATGCAGTTGGGGTGCACTTGACCAAGACTGGTCAAGCAGAGACAGATGGCAAATTGACACTGCTCAGGAACACAAGTCTTACAGAGGGCTACCAATGGACCTGAGAGCCCGCCTCAGTGATTGAGAAAACCCCATTCAGGCACCGAACGAGAGGAATCAGTTTGCAGCCTGAGTGAGCACCCATACTTCACCTATAGGAAATGCTAATCAGAGGAGATTGTTGGGGATGAGTATGCTTTCAATATGGAGAGTCTGTTACACTGAACTTCAGGGAAAAGAAAATTTATGTATTTATCAATACATAAATTTAATCAGCAATATTTGGTATATTTTTTCCAAAGATCAAAGTTATTTATTTTAACCATTTGTAGCAAGAAGCAGATTCTGAATACTAAATGTCTTTATCTGTGAAAACAGGCCTTCAAAAGTAGACTGGATTTTAGAAATGAGTTGCCAAACGAAACCCTTTTAAAAAAAAAAAATCATTTCCAGCATAAGAATTCTGAAATATTCCTAACTACATGCCATGCTATTCATGAACACAAATGACCCATCCAGAACATAAATAATGGTAAAAGACGAAGAATTATTTATTTCCTCTGATTTACCCTTCTAAATTTCAGGGTACTCTTGAAGGTGGAAAGGTGCCAGATGGATGGAACCAAAGACTTTGTAAGTGAAACACCTTCAGAGAAGCTGGTTCAGAAGCAGTTTGGTTTTAAAATTGGAAAATCTTTCATATTTTGGGCAATATTTTATTTCTATCAGGGCACACTTTTTTTGAGTGTACAATGAAAAATCCAAGAAATTCTAAGTATTCAAACATCCTTCAATCTTCTTTCTCCTTTTGTGTTACTACTTCCATATAGCTATCTTCTCCGCATTGCATGCCTATTTGTAATCTGTAATGCTAACCACCACAGCATCATCCCATAGCACAATAAGCAACAAAACAAAACAAAACACACAGACTTGTGTCAGTTTTCTCATCTTCTCCGCTATGGGAATAGCATGGAGCAGACTGATGCTGCTGGGACTTTTTTTTTTTTTTTTAATTGCACACATTATCTGTATTTAAAGAAAAAGCTAGAAGAAATCTGATTTGGACTTGGAGCAGAAGCATCTTACATTCCAGGAACAGCAGAATTTCCAGTCTGCTTTGCTCCTGACACTATTTC